GAATAGTTAGATTTTGTTTCCATTGACCAATAGAGATATATTCCAGTCTGCTCACGTTTTATTACGGTGTTCTTGTTTTTTTAGGTTGCTCTATTTTCTTTTACTATATAATGTTTTTTTTGTTTTTTTTTTTAAACTATGTCAGTGGATCTAAAACTGTTCCCAAGAGTATGTGATTTTTTTTTAAATATTATGCAAAAAAGTGGCATGCCAATACTGAATGTGGTATGTGTTTTATTATTGTGCTAAATCCCAGTGTCACGATGAAGACAAGGCACTTTACTCAGCTATAAATTGACTTGAATTAATATTCATTTTTGCACTGTAAAAAGATGAAAAAGGGTGTTTTTCACTACATAGTGAGTTATTAGATTTACAATTAGAATTAGAATTTATGCTAACCTCCCTCCACCTTCCCCTCCCAACCCGGCTTTTTCTATCCAACATTTTTAAAGAAAGACTTTAAGCAACATAACCACTACAGCACACTGTAGTTAAGAACAGTGTGACAACTTACCAGAGTCGAGCTGGGCACTCACCACCGCCTGTCCTTGTGCCAGAAGCTCTTGCAACTGAGCTAAGCCCAGCTGTAGAGGATCGCACTCATTGACTGAGAACAGTCCGATGAAGCTCTCAGCCAACGAGTGTGGCTCAGTGGAGCTAACTTTAAGCTCCTTGCAGAACCTTCTATCAGTAGAGGAGGGTGCGGGATCCTGTTAGGCTCCAGGCAAGTTGTCAAGCCATTCTTAAATGGTTTTACTATTAGTCGGGTAGGATGTCAGGGCATTCCTGGCACCATAACCACTCCAGTGACCTTCTGTGGTTATGCTTCTTTAAGTGTTCAGTTAAGTTCGATATCACGTATTTCACAATTCACTTTGTACCATAATTCTTATGGATTTTTTTTTAAGCAACATGGTTAAAATGTCATGTTTACACACATCAGAATTGTATATAGCATGTTTTTATCTTAGGTAGACTTCAGATTAATAACACTCCTCCATACAAGGTACATTAGTAAGAAACGATTGCTAAGGTTTGTATACATTTGGTTTGTTGCCAATAACTGTGGTACTAAATGTAATTCTGATCAATAAATTATTATGTTAAATTAATCAACTGGGCTTCAAGCTTCTATTGCTCCCAAATCATTTAATACTGTGTTATATGTCTATTATTCAGAAAAAGGACACAATCGATCCTGTTACTTCCTGGTTTGGTTAGCTCAGTGGAGCTAAACTCAAGAGGCAGCAATTGCCCAGAGCATCTGTCTAGCTAAGCCATTTTGTTGAGCTGCATTTGACTGGGCTAGGGAAGAAGGGGAGAGCTTGCAAAATCTTTAGACAGGAGATCTACATGTTTAGCTAGCTGTATTTACATATACGTCCAATAAGAAAGTAGGAAAGAGAGAAAAAAAGCCACATAATTAAATACATGCATGTTTACATTGAAAAATATCTACAAAACAGTCATTTTATTTATTTTTAAATATGGGGAGTGGAGTGCCCATGTAACATTTAGCAGAAATAAAGTAATTGTTTTCTGTATGACTTTGGCTCAGTCTCTCACATGGTTGTGGAGGAATTTTGGCCAACTCTTCTTTACAACATTGCTTCAGTACATTGAGGTTTGCTGGCATTTGTTTATGCACGGCTCTTTTTAAGTCCCTCCACTGCATTTCAATCGAGTTGAGCTCTGAACTTTGACTGGGCCATTGCAACACCTTGATTCTTTTATTTTCAGTCATTCTGTTGAAGATTTGCTGGTGTGCTTGGGATCATTACCCTGTTGCGTCACCCAATTTCGGCCAAGCTTTAGCAGTTGGACAGATGGCCTCACAAGATTCTCCTGGTCAACTCTATGACATCAGGGTTCCCAGGTCCTGTTGCTGCAAAACAAGCCCAAATAATTACCCCTCCATCATCATGCTTGACAGTTGGTATAAGGTGCTACTACATAATTAAATACATGCATGTTTACATTGAAAAATATCTACAAAACAGTCATTTTATTTATTTTTAAATATGGGGAGTGGAGTGCCCATGTAACATTTGTGCCCTATATCAAGTAGTAGACTTGTATTCTGCATAGCAGGATATTTACTGGCATAAGATGTATGATTGCGTTACTCAGGGCTGCCATCAGAAAGCTCAAGCTCTGGACCCTTGGGGCCCACCCCTGAGTCCGCCCAAAAGAGTTTAGTGTGTTTATAGTGGATGGAGGGTGCTTGTATTGTGAATAGGGGTTTACGAGACTCTGTAACATCTAAGACAGGGAGTAGGTTCTCTCACACAATACGGCATGCGTGCCACATTGCCCTGGTAGGCCACGGCAACACTGACAGCCAGGAGAGGACCTACTGGAGGGGGAGGATGATATTTGCTGGCTCCCCTCTTCAGTATACATGCAGACAGGGGCACCATTTACAGCCATGTGAACAAGAAAGAACACCACCTTCGAATTCTCTGGTTTTACATATCAGGACATAACAATCATCTGTTCCTCAGCAGGTCCTAAAATTAGGTAAATAATGGTATGAGGTGTTTGCGCTGATATGCTGATGCTATGTTTGGTTTTTGCCAAACACCTTATACCAACTGTCAAGCATGATGATGGAGGGGTAATTATTTGGGCTTGTTTTGCAGCAACAGGACCTGGGAACCCTGATGTCATAGAGTTGACCAGGAGAATCTTGTGAGGCCATCTGTCCAACTGCTAAAGCTTGGCCGAAATTGGGTGACGCAACAGGGTAATGATCCCAAGCACACCAGCAAATCTTCAACAGAATGACTGAAAATAAAAGAATCAAGGTGTTGCAATGGCCCAGTCAAAGTTCAGAGCTCAACTCGATTGAAATGCAGTGGAGGGACTTAAAAAGAGCCGTGCATAAACAAATGCCAGCAAACCTCAATGTACTGAAGCAATGTTGTAAAGAAGAGTTGGCCAAAATTCCTCCACAACCATGTGAGAGACTGAGCCAAAGTCATACAGAAAACAATTACTTTATTTCTGCTAAAGGTGATCCTACAAGCTATTAAATCATCAGGTATACTTTGTTGTTTTTACACATAGCTGCTCCATTTTGCCTTTATAAATCATGACACAGTGTAATATGTCAAATGTTGTTCACCTGAGGTTATATTTACCTTAATTTAAGACCTGGTAAGGAACAGATGATTGCTATATCCTGATATGTAAAACCAGAGAATTCAAAGAGGGTGTACTTTCTTTTTCCCATGACTGTGTATATAGCACGTACAATATATATATATATATATATATATATATATATATATATATATATATATAATACACAAGATCCAGCGCACTCACCTATCCACTAAACAGCAACTTCAATGTTGAAAGATTTTATTTGTTTTTTTAAAAACACCTAATTTAGGCAAAAATAATGGGGGTTTAGTTACATTATATGATCATACATTGCATAAGCCTGCCACAACGTCAATGTACCCCATCTTTGGCAGGTCCTACACTAACATCCTAATGTCTGCTCTTATGAGATTAACCTACTTAGGGGAAAAAATTCCATCTGGGGCTCTCTGCAGTACAAGGCTAAATAGGGCCCTGGGATGAGGCACCTGTGACAGGGAGGGGTGCAAAACCAAGGAGTTGGCTAGACTCCCAAATATAAATAAAACAAGAGGGGGTTGGCTGCACTCACCTTAACATGCATAAATGGGGGTGCTGCTGGGGGCCAAATAATACAATACACAAGATCCAGCGCACTCACCTATCCACTAAACAGCAACTTCAATGTTGAAAGATTTTATTTGTTTTTTTAAAAACACCTAATCTAGGCAAAAATAATGGGGGTTTAGTTACATTATATGATCATACATTGCATAAGCCTGCCACAACGTCAATGTACCCCATCTTTGGCAGGTCCTACACTAACAGCCTAATGTCTGCTCTTATGAGATTAACCTACTTGGGGAAAAAATTCCATCTGGGGCTCTCTGCAGTACAAAGCTAAATAGGGCCCTGGGATGAGGCACCTGTGACAGGGAGGGGTGCAAAACCAAGGAGTTGGCTAGACTCCCAAATATATATAAAACAAGAGGGGGTTGGCTGCACTCACCTTAACATGCATAAATGGGGGTGCTGCTTGGGGCCAAATAATACAATACACAAGATCCAGCGCACTCACCTATCCACTAAACAGCAACTTCAATGTTGAAAGATTTTATTTGTTTTGCACCCCTCCCTGTCACAGGTAGGTTAATCTCATAAGAGCAGACATTAGGCTGTTAGTGTAGGACCTGCCAAAGATGGGGTACATTGACGTTGTGGCAGGCTTATGCAATGTATGATCATATAATGTAACTAAACCCCCATTATTTTTGCCTAAATTAGGTGTTTTTAAAAAACAAATAAAATCTTTCAACATTGAAGTTGCTGTTTAGTGGATAGGTGAGTGCGCTGGATCTTGTGTATTGTATTATTTGGCCCCCAGCAGCACCCCCATTTATGCATGTTAAGGTGAGTGCAGCCAACCCCCTCTTTGTTTTATATATATTTGGGAGCCTAGCCAACTCCTTGGTTTTGCACCCCTCCCTGTCACAGGTGCCTCATCCCAGGGCCCTATTTAGCCTTGTACTGCAGAGAGCCCCAGATGGAATTGTTTTTCCCTAAGTAGGTTAATCTCATAAGAGCAGACATTAGGCTGTTAGTGTAGGACCTGCCAAAGATGGGGTACATTGACGTTGTGGCAGGCTTATGCAATGTATGATCATATAATGTAACTAAACCCCATTATTTTTGCCTAGATTAGGTGTTTTTAAAAAAACAAATAAAATCTTTCAACATTGAAGTTGCTGTTTAGTGGATAGGTGAGTGCGCTGGATCTTGTGTATTGTATTATTTGGCCCCTAGCAGCACCCCCATTTATGCATGTTAAGGTGAGTGCAGCCAACCCCCTCTTGTTTTATATATATATATATATATATATATATATATATATATTATATATATATATGAGGCTGTACTCTCCTGATAGCGGCCCTGGTGCTACTTACAGAACTAATAAGCCAGAGGTTCCTTTTCATTGTATGTGCTTGCCACTGGCTAAATGTGAGCAGTGCATTCAGACTAGAAAGCAGACTGCTGCTGCCGACCTTGCAGATTGTGTAATTGGCTTCCAGAGGGGAAGGCATTAAATACACTTTTAAAGATGGGCCTGGAGGGATCATTGTTTACCTGGTTCCTTGTGCTTGAGATCTGACCATCCATACTGTTCCACACACTCTATGATTCAGGCAGATGCACGGCTGCAGTAAGGTAAATGCACAAGCCTCAAGCCTCTCACCACCTGCAGTGCTTCACAGGTAGGAAATCATGGGGCAGTCCTGCTTACCTGCTCTGAACTCTGTCAATCTCACAATACATCTCCTGGTGCTTAAAGTGAACTGCAGTATGTGCGGTTTAGCTTTTTCCCAAACTAGCAATGCAAAACGAAGATCCATTCAGTCATGTGTTCAACTTTACATACTGAAAAATATTTGGTATCATTTCAATCACATAGAACACTGTAGTAAATGGACACTGGAGCTGTTTCATCTCATTGAAGTGGCTACAGTGTGTGGCGTGCACTGGCAACATCCTTCCATTCAACGTGAAACTGTTGTAATGTTCTAATGCCCAACAACCCACCCTGTCCATGCTGTTTAGGCTGATGAGAAAGCATTAGCCTGAATGGCTGTGATTGGCTGATTGTAAGCTGACCACTTTCAGCCAATCACAGTGTCCTTTTAGGTATGAATGGGAATAGCTAGAAGTTGCATAGGCCATGGGAAGCCAGGAACCCTCCTTTAGTGTTGGGACTATACCTCGGGATTCCAGGCACTATAACCAATTTCTGCCAAATGGCAGAGAATTGAGCAGTTAGACTAGCAGGATCTAAACACCAAAACTGCTTGATTAAGCTAAAGTTGATCTTGTGCCCCCTGGTGTCCATTTACGTAACACAGTATTGCATGAAAATTAGGCAACACATAAATTATACATATATTGAAGTTTGAAAAATACTGATATTATAGACGGATCTTGGAAAAAGAAAAAAAAAACAATAGTGTTAGGAATACAAAGTTGTATTACACTAGAGTGCACCTGCCCCATGGCAATAAAAGGGTTGTTCAGTCCCTTGGCCCTGGCTCAGTCTCCAAAATCAGCAAGAGGGGGGAAGTTAATGCGCATGCATGGTAAGCACTATGCACACATTAGGCCTTCCCTATAGGAAAGCATAGTACAGTTATCCCCAAATCAAGTCCCTCATGGACCACCAACAGTTCAGGTTTTGTCAGTATCTCCATTGGAATAAAACAGGGAAATTCATAAATCCTGAACTGTTGGTGGTCCACGAGGACTGGGTTAAGGAACACTGGCATACTATCAATGAGAGAACCTATGAGGTTTTGCAAGACGCTGGACATCCTCAACCCAAGTGTGTGGACATTCAGCATAATTTCAGAGTGTTATACTCCATGAAACAGCATGAGGCACCTCTAGTTTCTCTAGAACTGCTTTTGAGCTGCAGGTATAAGGGGACAGGGACACTTCAACCAGACCACATCAATGAGATGAAGTGGCCTTTGTGCCTATAGTTTCCCTTTAATTTAAATGTACAATTGCTTATGTTTTTTATCTGCACTTCTAAATAGCCTAGAACAGTGATGGCAAGCCTTTTTGAGCCAGAATGCCCAAACCGCAATATATGCCAACATTTTTTCCTCAAAGTGCCAACATGGCAATTAAACCTGAATACTGAGGTTTAAGTTTAGAAAAAACAACTCATACAGTTGTCCGAACCAATTCTCCTCTTCTCTGTCCCCAGCATCTTCCCTTCTCTTCCAACAGCATATACCCCTCTCCCCCCACTATCTCCAACTCCTCCTCTCCCCTATTCCCCCCAGCATCTCCTCTTCCTCTCTCCTCCTCCAGCATCTCCTCCTTCTCTAACCCAGATTATCCTCCTCCTCTCCCCTTCTCCCCCCAGCATCTCCTCCTTCTCTAACCCAGATTCTCCTCTTCCTCTCTCCTTCTCCCCCAGCATCTCCCCCTCCTCTTCCCCCCCCCCAGCATCTCCTCCTCCTTCTCTAACCCAGATTCTCCTCCTCCTCTCCCCCAAGCATCTCCTTCTCTAACCCAGATTCTCCTCTTCCTCTCTCCTTCTCCCCCAGCATCTCCTCCTCCTTCTCTAACCCAGATTCTCCGCTCTCCTTCTCCTCCTCTCCCCTTCTTCCCCCAACATCTCTTCTCCCCAGCATCTCTTCCAACTACTCCCCCTCCCTCAGCATCTCCTATTCCTCCTACTACCCCCCAGATTCTCCTCTTACTCTTCCCTTCACTACCCCCAGCATATTCCTCTCCCTCCCAGCACATAAATAAGGTTTAATTTTTTTTGGTGGGGGTTTGAAGTCCACCCAGGCTTCCTACCTGGTGGATCCGATTCCTTTCTGCTGCTGTGAGGGGGTGTGGGCGGCGCCTGATTGGCGTAGTTTCCTGCCTCCCAGCAGAGGGAGCCGTGCTGGAACAGCATGTAATTCAGTACTCCCTCGCAGCCCTCCATCCCACCCATCCGTACCATCATTATGCGCCCCCAGGCAAAACAGTGCCCTGCAGCCCTGCCTACACACAACTCACAGGAATAAAAATTTAAATTATAGATAAAATTAGGCTTATATTTACTAGTATCTCCAACAAATACAATACATACACACAGACTGCTGAATACGTAAACACAGAATGCCAAGTACAGACAGACTGCTAAATACAAACACACAAACAAATAAACTATAGTTATTAGAATGCCATTTTAAAAGCATGTTATTATATAATGAAATCCCCAGCTGTCAAACAGCACTGTTGAGAGTTTTTTATAAAAAAAAAAAAAAAAAAACTTTTTGACTTTAATCCAACATTTGACACTGGCCTATCCGTACATTTGTATTTTAATGTGTTTGCTGGGTGGAAACTTAATAAACCAGTCCCCAAAACCTATCAGGCTCTTACACAACTTTCCCATTTAAAAGTATTGGATAGCTAGGATTGGCAGGAAAAAAAAGGCAGCTAGCTCCTAGTGTGGGCAGCGCTCAGGAGAGGAAAGTTTAAACATTGTAGATTTTCAGAAAATAGTTTTATAGATTAATAGATTTCTGTTGGTTTTTGTACCCCAATTTTAAATTTTTAGAAGTTTCTGCTTTTTCTTGTTTGTGGTATATGTACTAAAAATTCTCTAACAGAATACCTTGTCCGTGTTATTGGAAGCGGAGATAGTGGGTGCTCTGGGTACTGATTTGCTACTTTTATAATGCAAGATTTAAAGAGACACTGTCACCTCAACCTTACCTTTCTTTTACGGTTTCCTCTCCTCTTTCAGAATCTGTTCTTCTGGTCTTCATTTCTCAGCTCTCTTTAAAACATAAGACAAAGTAGGGACTACTTTGTCAAACATATGAAAAAAAATGCACAAGACAAAGGCAAGCTTTACCCTTTACTAGCTGATCAAAGAAAGTAAAGCTCCACCATTTTGTCAAGCAAAGAGGAAACAATAAGAGTAAGGCAAGTTTGAGGTGCCAGAGTCACGTGGGAGACCTTTCCCCCCCTTTTTTCCTTTTCTTTTTAACACGTATAAGGGTTAACTATTCTCTTGAGTTGAAGAAAATACTGGTTAGCTCTGCAAGCCAAGTGCCTGGATAGAGTACCATGGATAAAAAGGTTTGACATTTTATTTTCACAAATAAGGTATTGATAAACCGATACAAATCAACCAAAATAATAATAATAAAAAAAAATAAAAATAAGTCACATTTTTCTGCCTTTTTCCATTTCTGGTTTTTATTTTTAGTGAGGTTTCTCTTAACCCGATACTTGTTACTAAGTTACCAATCAACCAGTTACACACTTACGTTTTATCCGTCTCCCCATCTTAAGGCACCTCAGACCCCTTTTTCAGCACTAAAGCAATCCTCGCATCACAGCGGTCATATTGTGTCTTATTTTACTAGTTCTATATTTACATTTATTTAATCAGATGGCTTATTGGAAGGATAGCACCCAAGATGTCAGTGATCGGCCAGTCATAATAGAAATACATTTATTTCGATTTTACTAACGCTGCCCCGTATAAAAATGACGCACAGCCTGGTGATACAAATCCAGCAGAAAAAGATCACATTCCCAATGTTTATAGGATAAATGTCATGATTTATTTTGTAGCACTGGGATTGGTCTGCCATGTTCGGTACCAGCACTACTGCTCTCAGAAACATAAAATAACATTTCACTACCAGTGTCACAGTCTGGCAGTGTATTTGGAACTGAAGGGGTTAATGTACAAAAATCACCTCTGTAATAAATATTGCATATTAAAAGAAAGTCCATCGTATTTAAATAATCTTAAGTGTGTCGTTTATATTGGCTGTGCACCTAAAAAACAAGACTAGCACACATACCTAACCCAGGAACGGGGTGCAAAATAAAAATGTTTAGCCGTAATACTCCATAAAAAGAAAGAAAAAAAAATAATGGAATTCTTGCAGTCAGAGAATAAAAAACGTGGCGGGTCTGGCAATGACAATACAGACAAATCATCTCTAAATCAAGCTACAGTCAAAATCCAGAACTAACGAATATAAGACGACTCAAAATTAATTTGTTTTTCTCTCTAACTGCTTGGCTTTGACATTTCAAATAACCATGTGCTTAGCTTTAAAAGACACTTGGAATTAATGATCGGAATTGAAAAAGCAAAATTTGCTGGGGCCATTGCTAATATTTACTCAAACTATCTTTTCCAGCTACCCCTGTGATACAATTTACATTAGACCAAACATTTATATCTTCCATCCATTGGATACAAATGACTCTTCAAAGACTCAAATCATAGCATTAGTCGCTCCACATCCGGTTTTATTTTTGTATCATGCAGATCCTGTTCATAACACATTCTGTCCCCTCATCAATCTAGCTCTATTGGACTGCTATCTTCCTGGCCGTCTTCCACATCGTCATCTTCACCAGATCCCATCAGGCTATTTAAGAGGTTTCCTTAGAAAGAAAATTCAATGTTTACAAAATAGTAGAGAAGAACGGTAAATAGAATCATCTAGGTCATGTTTCTATACTAATAAAAAAGGTTAATCTATATAATGCTGTCCCCTGTTTAAGGTGAGGACAGAGCATTATTCAGGATAGTGTAATACAGAGGTGCACAATGAGTGTAAACAGATAAGCAGAGATACGCAACATGTTTATAAAGGGAATGAAAAAACGACACCCACAGGGGGTGCCAAGAAAAATAAAAACAAAAAACGTGCACCCAGGAATCAGACCCTTGGCTTGCCACTGACATAGCATTCAGTACAACTTCGGGAAAACTACACATTTAAAAATGTTGCACTTCGGATTCTTCACCAAATTGCAAGTTTGAAATGACACAATCATTACAGTGTAAGTTATAGCAGAGAATGTCAATAAGGCATACAAGTACAGCTGTGCATTCTAAGTGTGAACACAAGTTGCTGTGAGCTGTAACAGCAGCCTGAATGCAGGTACCCCCATAACTAAAATACCAGCCACCAGCCATCGAATACAAAACTATAACCTTAGCCTTGGCTCTACAGCAAACATGAATGTATGGGGAGTGATGCTCAATCAGAAATGGTAACTATATCAGTAGTAAACAATTGGAATGCTAATGCGGTTTTTCATTGAAGTTATATCTGAAAATAGGTTGCAAAATCTGCAGCTCTTTCTTGTCTGCAGCCTTTGCAAGCCTTCCCCTTCTAATCCCGCCCAGACTTTTTGTAGCTGACCAATCACAGACTTTCCAATGCAGCTGCCTCTTGAGTTTAGCTCCACATAGCTAACCAAACCAGGAATTAACATGACCGGTGGTCTGCTTGAAAGACAAGGGGTCTAACCAGGTTCATTTCTATTAAAATCTGCACTTATTGCAAAATGAAAAAAAAGAGGACACATTCTTTACACATAAATCATTAGGGGTCTGGAGTGTCCATTTAAGAATGATCTAAAAGCTCTGGAGAAGAAGGATGAGTCGAGAAACTAAAAAAAGTCTAAAAAGAAAAACACTGTTAAACCACAGTCAAACCTTCCGGTTTGTGTTCTCTGCTTCCACACAGACTACATGTAGAGCAGATTAAAAAGCACAGGGATGGTGTTGCACATAAACCAGCAATAACTGTGGCTCATGTGATCGCAATACCTATATTAAATCAGCAAATCACGATTAAAAAACCCGTGGTCACTCACAAGGAAAAGCAACATTTAAAGGAGTTATACTCTATATTACTAAGCGTAACACAAGCAGACAATCCTCCACTAAAGAAATGATCTCCAAATGTTGGAAAGCAGACACTGGTATGTTTACAATATGGATATCCCACAGTAGCAATGGCTTATTTAAATCATAAAAATGACTTTGGTCCTTCTGAAAGCAGCTTGGGGTAACATGTTCTACATTCCTGGGTAAGACCATTCCAAAAAGAAAACGGATTGGCCTGTACTCACCCAGTAAACCCCCATATGAAGATGACTGTTTAGGAGGAACACCAAAGAAAAGTTGTCCTATTCGGTCGAGGTACTTTAAGACAAAATAAGAACAAAATGCATTATCATTACAATAACAGTGATTAAGTATGAAATTCACAATTGTAGCAGAGTACCAGCATTAAAGGTGTTTAATAATATAATATACACATTAGCAATCAATATAATACAGGGATGGTTAATATTTAGAGTCACTACAAGTACCAAGCTATTTCATCATTATGCAGTGGTGTTGATGTCTAGACCCTGTCCCTTTTTTCCCGGCAATGTAAAGCATTTGGCCATAAACACATCTCTATTGGCTGTCAGACAGAGAACATTGGAGGCATTTATTAGACAACCTACCTCATTATACATAGGGTCTCTCTTCAAGGAAAGCTGATACTGCTCACACAATACTGTAAATACTGTTAATTTTCCCCTAGATAAAACATTAAAAAGAAAAAAAATGTCAAAATCGACGTTGTAAATCTATCAGTTGGTGTATTTGGTGCTGATGTAATGGGATTACCAGGGTCAATTAATAAACTGTAACTTCCAATCTTCAGGCCAGCATGGTGATTATAATGAGAGATGTGGAGCTAGCTAGCACATCATATTCCGGATATCAATGGACTTAAAAGGACCACTGAAATCAACCAGGCCACTTCATCCCTATCGAACAAGGGACAGGGACACTAAAGTGTTAGTGTTCCTTTAAAAGGCAAATCTATGACAATTCATGTTAATGTTCAAGCTCAGACCCTCCAGCAAATGAAAAAAACCTATTAGTTCCATGAATCTGCACTGCAGTCGAGCTAATTAAGAAGCAGGTCCTCTTCTTTGCAACACTTTAAACAGCAGTTGGTGTGGACATTACTGGACCTATTCATGTTAATTGATACACAAGAGTTTCAATACTCCATAGGGTTGAATGAAATGTGTGAATGATGAAGGAAGAAGATGTTGCCCAGCTCTAATAATCAGGATACATAGTCACTTTAGGGTCTATGATGCTAATAACTTAAAGGGACACAAAAGGCATCAAAACCACTTTAGCTTAATGAAACAGTTTTGGTGTATAGATCAT